AGAAGGAAAGAAAAAAGAAACAAGCCACATACGGGTGTCTCACGCATGTAATCCTAGCATCCTAGCTAGTCAGGAGGCAGAGATCAGGGAAATACTGGTTCAAAGCCAGCCAGGGCAAATATTTCGTGAGACCCCATACTGAAAAAAAAAAAATCACAAAAAAGATCTGGTGGAGTGGGTCAAGGCATAAGCTCTGAGTTCAAGCCCCAATACTGAAAACAAACAGACAAACTCCAGTAAGAACATTGGTCCAGGGTTTTCATTTGCATAGGGGCGGGGCCAAAGCAGTACTTGACTGGAGAATTGGCCCCTTTTCGGGAGATGTGGCTCAGGGATTGTCCATTCACAGCTCTGTCTATCTACATAAGGGGTGGACCCAGAAAAGATGAAAATTTGCATAGGGGAGACTGGAAGGTCTGAGTGGCTGAGTGTGGCCATCTGCATTAAAAGGTGTGGCCAGGATTTGCCACCTTTGATTTGCCAGGGGACAGGGGATGGGATCTGGCCTCCTTGACACCTCCTCCCCTTCTTTTCCCCAAGTACTACATGTCTGCACGCCACATGGCGCTGTCTAAGGCTTTCCCAGATCACTTCACTTACGAGCCCCATGAGGCGGATGCGGTGAGTGCGCCCCGATCCCTGCTGGGCCAGGAGCCAGAGGACAAGGGCTGGGGCTGGGCTGGGGGAGGGAGGTCCCTTCTGGGAAGTTAAGTTCTCGAGGGCGGCAGGGCACCCCTCTAAACTTTAGGAACCTCTGCTCACTCTGTGGTTTTCAGGCTCAGGGGTACCGCTACCCACGACCAGCCTCAGTGCCACCATCGCCCTCGCTGTCGCGACACTCGAGCCCGCACCAGAGTGAAGACGAGGAAGAGCCCCGGAATGGGCCACTTGAGGAAGATGGCGAGCGTTACGACGAGGACGCGGAGGCTGCCAAGGACCGTCGCAACATCCGTGCGCCCGAGTGGCCCCGCCGCACCTCCTGCACCTCGTCCACCGGCGGGAGCAAACGTAGTAGCTCGGTGGACACGGCGCCCTCCAGCTCGCCCAGCACGCCCAGTGAGCCCCTCAGCCCCGCCAGCTCCGTGGGCGAGGAGCGCAACTAAGCCCAGATCCCCCACTCCCCATCTGTCCTGTGTCCCTCCTCCAGAGGGTGGATGCAGACAGCGTTGTCCCTGAGTGAACCCCACTCCAGATCCTGGTGTGAGCCACTCTTTCTGAGCTCCACAGTCCAGCCCCGTCCGCCATACACTCCAGCCCTTACAGCTCCGCCCTGGAGACCCCTCACTCCACACTCCACAACCTTGTGCCTTTCTTGGATATCAGAATGCATTATCTGTGCCCTGGAGTCCTCCCCGGCTTGGACTGGGTCCCAGAGGCCAGAAACCTGACCTTACTCTGCCTGGTGCCAGAGATTTTCCTAAACCTGGTCTGTTGCTTTCCAGGTTGGCCTTCCTAGAGCCCACTGGGGCTTGCAAAATTCCTCAGCTCAGGCCTGCCTTGGGGAACCACCAAGTGCTGGGAAGCAGGTGGTCTCCCTGCTAATTAAGACAACTGAGTCCAGAGCCAGGACACTTCAGGGACTTAAGATAACAGAATGCAGGTGGGGCCTCTTTTCACCTCAGAACCCAGGCTCCTGACAGGCTCATGGTTTAGCCCTCTCTGGAGGACCCTCCACCCTTACTCCTCCCATGCCCCATACTTTAGCCAAGCTGGGGATGGCAGACCACTTGGTCTTCTTTCCTTCTGGAGAGCATACAGTCTTGTTGTAGACACCTTTCTGGTCCTTTCTGGACCAGATCCTGCTCCTTCTCTGAGTCTGAGCTCTTCCCTGATTTGAGATACCTGTACCCACCAGGGACTCCTGCTGAGGACAGAAATGGCTGTTTATCCCCACCCCTGCTGACCTCTTCTGCCTACCATGAAACCACTGGGTTCTAGGTTCCAGCTGTTCAATCTAGAACCTCACCACTGTGCTGCCTCCTGGTCCCTTTCCCCTGACCTAGAACTGAGCCTACTGGGTTCTAGAAGCCCGTTACCTCCAGGCTCTTCCATCCCCAAGCTGTGTCCTGCCCCCAGCTTTGGTGAAAGGGAGGGGCTCCTCATGTGTGCTGTGCCATGCCTCATGCACTACTTGGTTTGCAGTTGGGAGGGGGAGGGCAGAAGTCTCATGATTGGAGTGTGTCCCGAGATGACAAAAATACATCTATATTTAAGAATCCCAAGTGTGGCTGGACATGAGCACTTGTGGTAGGCCTCGCTTCTGGTTCCCACAATCCTTATGGATTTAGTTCCTGCCCCTGCTCCCTCTCTGGTCCCTTATGCTATTGTCCTGGAAAGACTTGGATTGTTCCAAGATCCCAGTGCTGCTCAAGACACATCTGACTGCTGAGCTGACACTTAATTTCCAAGTGTCAGAAATTTGGCTCAAGTGATCTTTTTTATATATAATTTTTATTAGGATATATTCATTATGCAGGGGGTGAATTCATAGTGACAATTCTGATTAGACTTATTGTATATTAGTTACATCACCCCCATTGTCTCTCCCCCTTAACCCCCTCCCCGTCCACTTAAAGCAACTGCAAGAGGTTTCTTTGTTCTATTTCACATAGGTGTATGAAGTCCTTCGACCATACCTCATCTCAGTCTCCATTTGCCCTCCCCCCACTCACACACTACCTATTTTACAGTCTTGTCTTTCGTTATTAATCCCAAATTAATCAGTGGTCAAAGGGGTTTCTCGAGGTATCCCCAGTGTGAGTCTACTTTGGTCTTCTCAACGCTTCCATTGCTCTCCCTTACACCTTTACCTCCCACCCCCCAGTTTTCAACAGCTTTCAGAACACATCCTTATATCCTCTACCTGCACAGGTGTGTTACACTATCACTGATGCTCTTCAAGTGATCTTTGACATAAAGGAGCTCTGTGACTGGTAGATCCACGTCAGTCACAAGTCCTGGACAGTTTCTTGGTAATATTGGTCATATGCACGTGCTGTTTTGGGTCTTGCTATGTAGCTCAGGTTGGTTTCCTCATCTTCCTGCCTCCTTCTGAGTACGTGGATTACAGGCATGTGTCACCGCATCCTAGACAGTCTCCATACTTTGTCCTCACTGTCTTCTGGATGGCTAAAGTCTACTTGTTCTGATCTTCACTAGAACATATGTGCATGTCTGAACCAATCACCACTCAGAACTAGAAAGCTGTAATTGGCTTGGATTTGGGTGTGTCATTTTACTGTTAGCCTGTGTGACACATACACAGTAGTTCCCCTCCCTCAGAATCACAGTGGCCGCCAAAGTGCCATGACAGAAGGGGTTATGCTGCTGAGCTGACAAAATGACAAGTGTCCACATCCAGCAGCCTCTTAAGATTCCTCTTCTAACTGAGCATGGTTAGAAGTGCATGGAGGGCACCTGTAATTCCAACACTCAAGGCTGAGGTACTCTGGGTTACATGGCAAGACCAGGTCTCAAAAAAAAAAAATTCCTCAGCCGGTGACTGTGGCTCACGCCCATAATCCTAGCTACTCGGGAGACCAGCCCCAGGCAAATAGTTCAAGAGACCCCATCTCAAAAATACTCAAAAGGGCTGGTGGAGTGGCTCAAGCAGTAAGTAGATCATAGCTAGTGTGAAGCCATGAGTTCCAACCCCAGTACTGCCCCCCACCCAAAAATAAAGATTCACCTAGTACCATGAAAAGGGAAGGAGGAAGAGGGAGGGGAAGTCAGAACCTAACACTGCAATCTTGTTTGGCCTCAACATATACCCTTTAACCCTGTTCAGTACCCACTGGAGAATTCGGCCCCAAGTTTCACATCTTGTTTCCGTTTGTGAAACTGAACCCCTGGTGCCCAAATGCCTAGGTCAGCACATCTTAGGCATATGTGCCTGGCTGCACAGACCTGCCTGAAAATCCCCATTGTCATGCACTGGAATTACACCAATGCATCTTTCTAGAAGTGTGCAAGCACTTTTGAACCCGGGTGAATCCTAAATCTGCCCATAGAAAGGGGCTGAAACTCAAATGCCTAAGTAATCACATGGTGATTGTTAAGCAGAGCTCCTTCAGGGCCGGGAGGGTGTATCTCAGTAGCAGAGAACAAACCTACGCCCTGGCTTCCATGCCAGCACCACTTAGAAAGCAACAGGGGCATTTTGCCTTATCTGGACCTAGCAGTTCTTGCTCCCAGCGACCGGCACCAGGCTCCAAGTCCCCTCGCAGCCTGGACCACCATTTAGGAAGCAAGACCAGCAGGCCACCCTTCCTAACTCATTGCAACACAGCCCCCAGTGGTGTCCCCCTTAGAGCAGGTGAGGAAACGGGATAAGGCAAAGTTTGCCGCCCCTGCCACCACCCGCCCCACCTCTCCAGCCTCATTTTCCACACCACACACAAAACCACCAGCTGCTGCATACAAAGCTTTATTTCCATTTGGTCCAAAACTTGGGAGAGCTCCGGGGCGGTTAGGAAGCTGCCTAGTGGAGGGGCTCGGGCTGAAGGCGACGGCGATGCAGAGGCGCCCTCCAAGGCTTGGGCGGGCGCCGCCTAGTCATGCTTGAGGGTCAGGCGCTCGAACAGATACTCGCCCAGCCCGGCCTGGGGGCCCGCCAGCCGGCGGAGGTTAGTCAGGTGGTCGCCCATCTTCTTGATGAGCTTCACCTCCTCGTCCAGGAAGTGGTTCTCCAGGAAGTCACAGAGCTGAGGGAAGACGAGCAGTGACAACCCATCCCGGGAAGGGGAGGTAAGGTGATAGGAGATGGGGAAGGAAGGGGGCGGCAGGCACTTACGTGAGGGTCTGTGCGGGCCGAGCCCAGAGCATGGAGATCCAGAATGGCTTGGTTCAGGCTCTTCTCCAGGGTCAAGGCGGCCTCCATGGCGTCCAGGGTTTTGCCCCACTCGTCTTGCGAAGGTTTCTGTACATAACACAGAAACGGCTCAAAACCGGCCGCATCGCCAACCACAAAACTACAACTCCCAGGAGTCATCGGGGGCGGGGGGGGCGGTCCCGGCCCGCAAAGACACGCGGATTTGTAGCCCGCTATCCAAGGGAATTCCCAACGCCCCCACGGGCAGTGTCACCAAACCAGCACAGAACCGAACTCCAGCTCCTAGAAGCCTCCGCCACACCTTCAGGGCGAGGAACTCGGTGCCCCGTGCGCAAAGCCTGCTGGGAAGTGTGGTCGGCTCCCGGCAAAGGGATTACCTGCACGTCCTGGAAGATCGCGCGGCCGCCACGCTGGTTCTGCATCTTCAGAAGACGCTGGGCACCCTCGCGCTTCTCCTCCGCCAACTCGCGGAAGAAGTGGCCCACGCCAGCCAGAGCCACATCGTCACGATCGAAATAGTAGCCCTGCGGGAAGAGAGCGGGAACAATGGTTGGAGGGAGGACAGGCTAGGCGAGGGGACTCCGCCCTCTGACTACTGGGACAGACAAAGAAAGCCTGCGCGTGCGCAGAGCTGGAGGTGCGCAGTTATGGAGACCTTGGGCTGGGGTGGAAGAGTGGGGAGCCCTCACCAGAGAGAGGTAGGTGTAGGAGGCCCGCAGATGCAAATTGACCAGGCGGTTGACACCAGCCTCCACCTCGGTGGAATAATTCTGACGAATCTGCGAGGTCATGGTTGGTCGTCAGTACGGAGGTAACCACAAAAAAAAGGTGCTGGCTGGTCCTGGAAGAAGTTGGGCGAGATGGTCCCAGAGGTGACTGGAGAGAAGATTTCAAAGAAGTTGGTGGCTGAAAAAGAGGGAGTCCCCGGGTCTGTTCCGTCCAAACACTGTTGAAGCAAGAAGCAGATCCGCGGGACCTCCGGACAGCGCTGCTGAACGCGGTGCCTGGGCTGCTCCGTTTATAGTGCGCTGGCCATTGGAGGCGGGGCGTTCGGGGCAAGCGATCGGCCAATCTGTGAAGGCGGGAGGCGGGTGCTCAAAGCTCTGCCTGACCAATCCCAAGTAGACAGGAGTGTCAGCCCCCCACCCAGTCGCAGGAGAGTCACGCGCTTGTAGCGCGAGGCCGTTGTGAAATAGGGAATGGGGGATGGGGTAAGGGTAGGGGTCGGGATCTTGGGGACGCATTATGAAAAAGTTAAGGGATTTGGTGGTTCTCTGTGGAGGATGAAAGATTTATGGAGAAACTGGGGAATCTAAGGAAATGATAACTGAAGGCCTGGGGCTGTCTGGAGAAAGCAAGAGGGCTTCTAGGCTTGTTTCTGAGAGCATGGAGTTTTCAGAAGGTGCCAGTGAGGGAGGTGTGGGGGTGTGCAGAACATGGGTTTTTCTGCAAGGTGCCCTTGGTATGGATAGGGAGACAACATGGACTTCTAGAAGATTGGTGGGGGGGAGAGCGTAGAACATGGACTTTTCTGAAAGTGCCCTGGGTCAGGTGCAGGGGTAACGTCAGAGGAGCCTACGAGACCTCCAGTTGCCTGGGGGTCACACTGCATTGGGGTGTCAGGGCCATTGGGAAGTTTAGAAGGGAGGGAAATGCTATTTTTGAGGCCCTAGAGATCTCTTTGAAGGGTGGGGAGCAGGGACCTAGGGATTTAGGGGGTGGCTCAGGCTGGGAAGTTCCAGATTCCTCTGGAAGCTTCCCCGGGGACGTCCGCCAGCCTTTGGGGTGGTCTCGCGCACACTGCCGTGCTGTTTCTGGAAGCCTAGCGGGGACATGTTAAGAGGTAGGGCATGTGACGCCCTGGAAAGATCGCCAGGTGTCTTGGAATGGTTTAGGGCCCCTGTTTTTCGGGGAGCAGAGACCTCGGGAGGAAGGAAATGGCTCGCGATTTGGGGTCAGAGGATGCGTTTCCCGCGCTGTCGTGGCGGTGACTCCGAGTTCTCCTTGGCCCTGAAACGGTGTCTACAGTTGTCGCAGTGACTTCCCTGACATCTGCTCTTGGGTCTCTGGGTGAGGAGGAACAAGGCCTTGGGGAGCTAGGGACAGGATGTCCGCCTTGGGCTAATGCTTTAAGTGCGCCAGGTGATTCCTGGGGCCGACTTCATGCCTTTGGCGGGAGGGAAGACAAAGGACAGGAACTTGTCCCTACTTCAGTGTCCCATGGAGGCGGTCCCGGGCGGTGTGCTGACTAGGAAGTCCCCGGATGTGCGGCCGGGCTCTATCTGGGGTCGGCGATGGTGGGGTGGTGTGTATGGGGTGGGGGCGGAGGGTAGCAGTTCTGCTGAGTCACGCTGACTCAGCGGGGGTGGAGGCGGGGCTGCCCGCTGACCTCATGCCGTCCAGATCCAGCGCTGGCGCCAGACCGGGGATCCTCGCGCAGAGCCCGGCGGACCCGCGTCGGGTCCCCTCCCCGCGGTGCCGCCGTCGAGGAGCCCCGCGGCGTGCGCTTTGACGCCCCGCAGTCGTGTGTTTTTACATTTTTGTTTGTTTGTTTGGGCCCCTTCTGTTCCTGGATCTGCTTGTGATCGCACTGTCCCGTGTCCCGTGTCTGGGGTGGTGGCTGTCTACTTTCCTACCTTTTCCCTGACCTGGTGTCTGCGGAGAGCCCGGGGCGTGTTGATTGCAGGGCGGGAGTTACTCATTGACCACATTACGCACGACCTTTAGCCCCGGGCAGGTCCGGACTGGGAGGGGACCTCGAGGGACCGCAGGTGGAAGGTGGGTAGCACCAACCTGGGGCTGGGGGGGAGGGGGAGAAGGCACGCACCCCCAAACAGAGCCCCAGAGAGAGAAAGAGAGGGCAGACACCAGGCGTGGTGGTGCACATCTGGAGTCCAGCTACTGGGTGGGTGGGTGGGGGACAGTGGCAGAAGGGTCGTGAGTTCTAGGACAGCTTACACAGGTTAGGGGACCCTGTCTCAAAAACACAAGTGGGGGGGCGTGGCTCAACGGGTACAGTGCTTGCCTAATAAGCCCCAAGCTGGAGGCCCTGGGTTCCATCCCAGTACTGCAGATTTTTAAAAAATTTCACAAAGAGGTGGTCAGAGGCGATGTTTCTCTCCTCTTTGGACTCGGTGTATCTAAACCTTCCATGCGTTTCTGGAAGGCCAGTGTCTAATGGAGGCTGTTCCTGGAGGGGCTCTGTAACTATGCCTGCCCAGGCGCCCCGCTCCCGTGCCCCCACAGCCCTGATTCGTGGCTGGACCTTTCCCTGGGACCCTCCAATCCCTGGCAACCTCCAGTAACTTCCCTTCACCTCTAGTCCACCTGTCCCTTGTCCTTCTGCCTCAGTAGTGCAGCTTCTGGGCTCCAGTCGGAGCTTCCTGGCAATGGTCCCCTTGGCCCAGGAGGCCAGCTCTGCAGCCCGTGGTCCCCATTCTTCCTCCTCACCCAGGACAGATGCAAGGCCTCCACCAGTGTACACTTCTTCACCATGGGCTTTGACCCTGATGATCAGGCAGCCTCCATTCCTCTTGGACTGGGACTGCTCATCCCCAATCCACAGACAACACAGATCACCCCAAAAAGGTGTGGAGAGTGGGAGTTGTACCAAATCCTGAGCAGCAGATGTGGACAGGACCTTCCTCTCCTGAGGCCCTTGGTGACTGGACCAGTGACTCAGACTCTATGTATGAACCAACAGAGGTTTATTGCCCCTGCCAGGCCACTGTCTCCCACCCTTCCCAATAATTACAAAAGTAAGAAAAATGCCCATGTACCCCAACCCCCCACTCCTCCCAGAAAAATGCCATAATTTATGCAGAAAAGACACAGTCCACAAGGCAGCTGGTGGCCTCAGCCCATCTTCTTCCAAATGGTGAGCGAGGCAGTGAGCACTCCAGCCACAAAGATGGTCACTGTCTGCCACGTGGGGGTCCCAAAGTAGGAAAGGAGGCCGTCCTAGGAACAAAGATGTCACATCAACAACTCAGCCAGGGTCAGCCCTGGGCCAAGTGTGTGTGGGTATTGGGGGGGAGCAGCTGCAAGGTGGCAAAGGCCTAAGATGCATCTGTGGTGAAAGGTTATCAATGAACTTGAAAGGGAGAAGAACCAGGGAGAGTAATGCTAATCAGGGTCACAGAGAAGTAGCAGGTACCAGGTGAATCAGGTCATAGACACATGATGATCTGAATGGGAAGGGGGCACCACTCTGGTGGGCTTTGTAGCCCCAGGGTCACAGGTGTGGCAGGGAGAGGGTGGAATGGGACTGAGGGGGTCTCACCCAACCACCCTGGTCTTGGATCCAGCCTAGCAGCCGTTCTCGGAGGAATTCCAGCGTCCAGCCCATGATGGTTCTGATCAGCTCCGGTACCTTGGTGCACAGGGCCTGCAGGGAATTAGGTAGGTTAACATTAGGGACTGGGCCTTGTTCCTACTCCCTATAGGTAGCCCCAGATCTTTTTTCTCAATTCTCTGCATTCATTGGATGTGTCTTCAAACCAGTTTGAGCCAACTAGATCACTTCACAGTCAAATGACCTGTTCACAAAGCCTTCTGTGGCTCCCTAGTGTCCTCAGGATAGAGACTGAAAGGCACAGCCCAGGACATTAAGGCCCTGTAAAGGCCTTAACCTGATCTCATTCCACTTTTCAGCTTCTTTCCTGTGCCCTACTAACGTTCCTTTGATTATTCCTCTTTTGGTGGGAGTGAAGTTTGAACTCAGGACTTCAAGCTCACAAACTTGAGTCACACCATTTTACTCTGGTTATTTTGGAGACAGGAGTCTCGAGAACTTTTTGCCTAAGCTGGCCTCAAACCACAATCCTCCTAATCCCCACCTCCCACATAGCTAAGATTACAGGCGAGGGCCACTAGTGCCCACCTTTGTTTTTCAACACAAGGTCTCCCCACATTGCTCACCCAGGTTGCTCTCCAACTCCTACATTCAAGGGATCCTCCTGCCTCAGCCTCCAGAGTAGCTGGAACTACAGGCACATGCTATCAGGCTCAGTGGTCCATTTCTTCATTTCCATCACTCCTCCCTGCCTTGGGACTTTTGTACATGCTAATCTTTCCGACTAAATGGGCCTCAACCAAGCAAATTCTCATCTCTCAAAGCTCAAGTCAAGTTTCACTTGCCCAGACCTGGTAAGACCACTCCCTGTGAAGCCCCATGACCTGCACTCCCAAGTCCCAGGACTCCGCTTCCCAGCCTTTCTCTGGCTGCTGCTTTCCCTACTGTCCCCAGCTCTGTATGCAGCTGCACTGTCATGCTGGCCACTGCCCTGTTAGCTCAACTTTAAAAGCACAAGGCGCCGGGGAAGAGGACTCGGTGGCATATCATGGGCTTAGTGTTGCAAAGCCCTGGCTTTGAGTCCCAGCACCACCACCACCCCCCAAAAAGCAGAAAACACATGGACAAATACACTTGCCCTGCCTAGGCAGTCTTCTGACCTATTGCCTCATATTTATTATTTTATTTATTTATTTTTTTATAGTCCTTGGATCAAACCCAGAGCCTCACGCATGCCAAGCAGGTGCAGTACTGCTGAGCTCGACTGGAAATCTACAACCCCAGCTCCCCCCCCCCTTTTTTTTTTTTTGCAGTGCTGGGGATCAAACCCAAGATGCTGCCCAGGCTAGGCATAATTCCTTCTTTTTATGTGTGGGATTAGGATTTGAACTCAGGGCTTCATACCTGCAAAGCAACTTTCTACCAGTTGAGCCACACCTCCTGTCCATTTTGCTCTGATTATTTGTGCAGATAGAGTGTCATGAAGTGTTTCCCTCAAAGAGTGATCATTCTGGTCTCAGCCTCCCAAGTAACTAGGATTACAGAGTGAGCCACCGGCACCCATCGTAATTCCTTTTATTTATTTATCTTTTTGGAGGTACTAGGGCTTGATCTCACAGCCTCATGGCTTCCTACGCTAGCACTCTACTACTTAAGCCACTCTACCAGCCATATTTTGTGTTGGATTTTTTCAATAACTATTTGCCCT